ACTACATGTAAACCACACAACAAGCAAATTTTGTAAATTCAACATTGTAATCTTTATAGAGAATAAACTTTGAATTGAATTGAACTACTACTATACTACTACTATACTACTACTACTATACTACTATACTACTACTACTACTACTACTACTACTACTATACTACTACTACTACTATACTACTATACTACTACTATACTACTACTATACTACTACTACTACTATACTACTACTACTACAATACTACCCATACTACTACTACTAATACTACTAAAATTTCTACTACTACTACTACTATACTACTACTACATAAATACTACTAACTAACTACTAAATAACTACACTACTACTACTACTACTAATACTACTACTACTAAAAACTAACTACTACTATACTACTACTTTCTACTTTTACTACTACTACTTTCTACTTTCTACTACTACAAACTATACTACTACTACTACTACTAAATATACTACAACTACTACTACTATACTACTACTACTAACTACTAAATAACTACATACTACTACACTACTACAACTACTACTACTACTTATAACTACTACTATACTACTACTACTACTATCACTACTATATACTACTACTAAATAACTACTACTATACTATACTACTACTACTATACTACTACTATTACTACTTAAATACTATACTACTACTACTACTATACTACTACTACTACTACTATAAATACTACTACTATTTCTACTACTACTCTACTACTATACTACTACTATACACTACTACTATACTACTACTAACTATACTACTACTACATACACTACTACACTACTACTATACTACTACTATACTACTACTACTAACTACTCAATACTACTACCTAAAAACTACTACTACTACTACTATACTACTACACTACTACTATACTACTACTATACTACTACTACTATACTACTACACTATACTACTACTACGACTATACTACTACTACAATACTACTACAAATACTACTTTCTAAATCTACTATACACACAAATACTACTATACACTACTACTAAACTACTACCTATACTACTACTACTTTCTACACTACAATATACTACCTACTACTACTTTTACTACTACTACTACTACTATACTACTACTAACTAATACTACTACTACTAACTACTACTACTACTATCTACTACTACTACAACAAAACTACTACACTAAACTACTAAATACTACCTATACTACTACTACAAATATACTACTACTATACTACTATACTACTACTACTACAACTACTACTTTCAACTACTACTACTATACTACTATACTACTACTATACTACTATACTACTACTACTATACTACTACTACTATACTACTACTACTATACTAAAATACTACTACTACTAACATAACTACTATACTACTACTATACTACTACTACTATAAATACTACTATAACTACTACTATGCTACTACATACTACTACTACTACTACTATACTACTAAACTACTACTCACTATACTACTACCACTATACTACTGCTACTACTTTTTAAACTCTATACTAACACTACTCTATATACACTACTACTACATCTACACTACATACTACTACTACTACTACTATACTATACTATTTTTCTATACAAATCTACTATTTATATCCCATATTTACAATACTATACTACTACTAATACTATACTATAAAAACAAATACTACTATACTACTGCAGCGCTTATGCCCTTGGCTTACGCTTCTTTTTGATTAAAATAATACTACACAATACCAGTCAAATCAAACTAACACTACTTACTACTACTATACTAACACTACTACATCTACAATCATACTACTACTACTACCTATACTACGCTATACTGTACTACATACAATAGTACTACTATTACACTACTACATACTACTACTATACTACTACTACTACTACTATCTCTACACTACTATACACTACTAAATACTACTATACTACATACTATACTTTTACACTAAAAACCCTTACTACTATCTATACTACTCTACTATACTATACAAAACTATATAAACAAACTATACAAACCCAACATACACTACAATATTCTACATACAACTCTATACACTACTAACTACTACTACAAACTACTACTACAACTTTTAAAACTCACTTTTTAAATTTTTTATTTAAAAATTTTAGCATACAACAGGGGTACAAAAAAAATACAGGAAGAGCCATGCCAAGCCACTTATATCATAGCTTACGGGCTGGCTTAAAATTTAAATTTTAAGATTAATAAGCTTTTGATAAAAACAGTGAAAAGAATTATTGTAAACAGATAACAAAAAAGCACAAATGATTTTTCAAAACAGTCAATGGTTCATGCATTGCTGTTCATTCAATAGAATGGGTATTCGTTGGGGATGTTTTTAAAAAAAATAACAAATTTAGTTTGGGGGTCCAGGTTTAACTTTTTTGTGATATTTTTGTGAGAAAACATTTTGGTACAAAATTTTATAAGGTTCGTATTCAGTATTTTTTTGGTTTTGGTGAGTAAGTGAATTTTGAAAAGGGAACTTGTTTTTAAAACGGGTAGTGTTTCTTTATATTTACAGGTAATGAATTCCAGATTTTAGGGCCTTTTATGTGCATTGAGTTTTTGCATAGCGTGAGATGGACACGAGGAACATCAAAGAGTGGTCTGTGCCTTGTGTTATGGTCATGTGTTCTTTTGAGGTTGGCAAGGAGATGTTTGAGGGGAGGGTTAATATCAGAGTTAAGTGTTCTTGATGTAATAGGTGCAAAAATAAGTATGGATGTTTTTTTTATGGTAAAGTAGGTTGAGTGTTTTGAATATTGGTGGAGTGTGTTGGCTGTAGTGAGAATTTGTTATCATTCAAAACTGCAGCCTTTTGTTGGGTAATTAGTGGTCTGGATGGTTAATTGTTGTTGAGCCCATGAAAAATTTTTCCATAGGTGAGATAGGGGGTAAATAAGAGAGTGATAAAGGGCCAGGAGGGTGACTGTGGAACATAGTACCGTATCTTCGATAGTATGCCTTTACAGCCCTTGGAAATTTTTTTAGAAATTTGTTGTACATGTGTATGAAATTTGAGTCTATTATCGAGGTGGTTTCCCAAGAATTTTCCCTCTGTTAGCTTTGTGATAGGTGATCCTTTTATCGTTATTTTAAAGATGTACATCTGTAGCTCTGTTACCAAACTGAATGAAGTAGGTTTTGTCAATGTTTAGTGTAAGTTTGTTAGTCCTCATCCAGGTAGATATTTTCTGTAATTCGGTGTTTACAGTATTGGCTAGCGTGACTGGGCTCGGGTGAGAGAAGACGTATGTAGTGTCATCTGCTAAAAGTGTGGGTTTGAGTAATTGCGAAGCATTTGGTAGGTCATTTATGTATAGGAGAAAGAGAAGAGGGCCAAGGACACTTTCTACTACACTACACTACTACTACTACTACTACTACTACTACTACTACTACTACTACTATACTACTACTACTATACTACTACTACTACTACTATACTGCTACTACTATACTACTACTATACTACTACTATACTACTACTACACTAGTACTACACTACTACTACTACTATACTACTACTACTATACTACTGCTACTACTACTATACTATACTACTATAATACTACTACTATACTACTACTATACTACTACTACTATACTACTACTTTCTTTTACTACTACTACTACTACTATACTACTACTACTAATACTACTACTTTTACTACTACTATATACTACACTATTACTACTACTTACCCACTATAAATACTTTCTACTACTACTACTACTACTACTACTACTAATTCTACTACTTACTTAAATAAAAACTACTAACTACTATAACTACTACTATATAAATACTACTATACTACTTTCTAATATACTACTACTATACTAAATACTATATTTCTACTAAATACTATACTACTACTTTCTATACTACTTACTACTATACTACTTTTTCTACTATACTACTACTACTTTTACTACTATACTACTTTCTATACTACTACTTACTACTACTACTATACTAATATACTACTACTACTATACTACTATATACTACTACTACTTACTAACTATATACTACTACTATACTACTCTTTATTCTACTATACTAATACTACTACTATACTACTACTACTATACTACTATACTACTACATACTACTATATACTATACTACTACTATACTTTCTACTATAAATACTACTATCTCTATACTACTACTATACTACTTTCTTTCTACTATACTATACTATACTATACTACTACTACTACTATATTACTTACTACTACTATACTACTACTATACTACTACTACTTTACTACTATACTACTACTCTAATACTACTACTATACTACTATACTACTACTATATACTATATACTACTACTACTAATACTACTCTACTACTACTAATACTACTACTATTTCTACATACTACTACTACTATACTTTCTACTACTATACTACTACTCTATTACTACTACTATTTTCTACTACTACATACTACTTTAAATATCTCTACTACTATACTACTACTACTATACTACTACTATTACTACTACTACTACTACTACTACTACTACTACTACTACTACTACTTATTATTTTTATTATTATTATTTCTAGAAGTACCTGATACATCTTATATAGACCTAGCTGACATCAATGACATACTGTATAGATAGTAAGTTTATTTAGGTACAGGTGCACATAGATACAAGTATCATACTAACACATGTGAAAATTACCCAAACCTGACAAAATTTGTAGCAGGATATTCTGCTATTGGTTTGAGCTCCACCCATTCTGTAGTTAAGATACAAGTTACAAGTTTATTCCTTGGAAAAAAAAATAGTTAATTTAAAAATAGTTGCATGGTAATAGTTTTTGGAATTATTCTACAAAGGAATTTCCCCCCAAAAATGGGTAAATAAATATAATCCCAGAGAAAAGTTGATATTTTTAAATTTCTTTGACTTTAGAAAGAGTGAGTGAGCATCATTGCCAACAGCAGTGTCAGCAACAGCTACTGTGCATTATGATGGCAGAGTGTAACAATGATTGCCACAACTGTTGCAAGGAGGATACTGATAACAAGGTAAGCCTTAATTCTATATGAGGGTGAAGAGTTTTTGAACCAAGGACCTGGAACTATCATGTCTCCCAAAATCAAATGATTTTCTTAAATTTCTCAGGCTTTGTTTGACCCCTTTGAATTGAACTCTTCCTCAAGTATATTATAATAATAATAATAATAATAATAATAATAATACAGTAATTAAAGCTTGAATGCTTGGAGATGTACATTTTACAATTAGTGACATGAGAGATATGTACTCTCTGTGTTATGTAAGGAATGGAATGACTTGTATATTTCAAGGTCGAAGATGTGTTTACTTATACAATACTGTATAATGAATGATATACTAGAATGTAATTCAGGCCAGACTTGTATTATAGTTTTCTAGAAACTGTATAGTTTAAGATAGCATTGACCAAGACTAAATACTATACATCAATTTCAGCCAAATAAATGTAATAATTGTACATTAATGTGTATACAGTATACATGTATGTATACATTTATGTATAAGGAATTGATCTTAATTGTAATGTCAGTAAAATATTGCTGAACAGTCATAAAAGAATGCAAATATTTTTAACATGTAAGTACAGTGTTTACCACTAAGAAGATGGGCCTACCAGGCCACAGGCCTGGTAGGCAAAGCTCTCACTTTATACGCTGAGAGTCTGGTGTCAGTTCCCGGCAAGGGTGGAAAAACTGGGCTTGTTTTCTTACACCTGTTGTCCATGTTCACTCATCAGTAAAATGGGTACCTGGGTGTTAGTTGACTGGTGTGTGTTGCATCCTGGGACAAAATTTATCTGATTTGCCCGAAATGCTTTGCATAACAAGGGGCTTTCTGTATAGTATGTAACTGATGTCAGCTGTATACCTTGTACATGTACTTATAGAAACAGTAATGATATTATCACTCGCTTGTAAGCCTGAAGGCACTCCAGTGGAAATAATTTACATTATTTGATTTTACTGGCTTATCCTAGTTTCAATTCCTTGTGACTTACACCAGTACAGTACTATATAGAACAGTTATAAATGTTTAGAAATATGTATGAGCTTTAAGCATTTACCACTAAGCCATGTGCCACCCACAAATGTATGCAAGGCTCTAGTAAATGAGTAACTAAGCTTCTGTTTAGGCTTAATGTAAATAACATACATTTTTTTTTTTACAATATTCAAGAGGGGTATCTGGCAAAGTCACCAACTTTTCAGATTACTGACATCAGCGAGTTGTCTCATTGACCTGGTAATGTCAGTGAGATCATTTGTATTTATCTTGAGACATACAGATGTTGAGTGCATAAAACATCCAGTATATAGATTTAGCCTAGGATAATATACTAACAATAGTAATATCTTTATTTACTACAAGTACATGTACAAGGTATACAGGCCTAGCTGACATCAATGACATACTACTATATAGAAAGCCCCTTGTTATGCAGAGCATTTCAGGCAAATTAGGTCAGTTTTGTCCCATGATGTGACCCACACCAGTCGACTAACACCCAGGTATCCATTATTACTGATGAGCGAACATAGACAACCGGTGTAAGGAAACATGTCCAATGTTTCCACCCCTTCGCTGGGAATCGAACCTGGACCCTCACCGTGTGAAGTGAGAGCTTTTGCCACCAGGCCATGGGGCACCTAACCCAACAAAGTAAGTGTGACTTATTTCTATTGGGGCACTTATGTGTGTCTCGTGTAGAGTACAGTAGTGTCATGTAGACTATTCTTGCAGGTACCTTTAACTTGGTGCTCTGATGAAAAATTATGCAAACAAATTACAAGTTGTTTAAATTACTGTTACAGTTACATTGTGTAGGCCTTTAATAAATAAAAACAGATTTTTTCATGTTAAGGTATAGTTGTACAATATACGTATCTTAAAATATTTATACTGTAATATGCTTAATAATTTTTATTTTAAAATAATATTTATTATACATTTTGAAACTTCTTTTTTCTTTTAGGAGGAACCTTGTAGAAAAATCACAACTACTGTCTTGGAGCCCTGTCTGCCACTGCCCCTGCAAGACGACATTCTGAATGATATCGTCCCAAAAGCCAAAGACTTTGCTCTTCTGCATGGTATGTAAGGGTAGGCAGAAAAGTACTGATAAAATAGAGAAAAGGAAGAAGATAAATAGATTAGGGATATAGGAATAAAGGGAGACAGGTATGAATAAAGTAAATATAGAGTAAGTATGACTGAAAAATTACGAATTTCATTTAATTTTTTTTTTTATTTACTTGTTAACACTTATTTTATTTTTCTGTTTACCCACTGATACCTGACTTTGTTTGTTTTTCAGTGATTTAAACCCTCATCTCTGGCTGTAAATATATTAAAATTAGGGCATTTTCACGTAGATTACTGATCATTCATTTTATATCTTATGAACATATAAGATGGTAGGTAAATTTTAAAAAAAATTATTCACTATATACATTTTTTTTTTTTACTTTCTTTTGCCTTCCTTAGAGTTCGTAATCCTGTAACTCTGTACAGGTTGGCCATCACTAATCTGGCATCATTGGGACCTGTAGTGTGCTGGATTAGTGAGTTTGCCAGATTACAGAATGGTTAGGCTAGAATAAACTTAATTAAACCATCAGTAGAGACTTTCTGCTACATCTTCCTCATTTTCATCACTGCTTTTTCCTTCACTGACTTGCTGCTGTGGATTTACAACCATCTGCACAATTTCTGAGTAAGTATAATGATAAAATTTGAGCGAGTGTAATGATTTGAGTCAATATCATGATAAAATTTGAAATTATGCTCGCCGAAATTAGTGCCGAATTCCTGATGCAACCGGATAACTGATTGCCAGATTAGTGATGGCCAACCTGTATTTCATTTCTAATTTAAGAGACCTGGTCTGAGACTTGGCTACTATACTTGCTGGCAGGTATAGCCAGCAAGTATAGTAGGAAGCCACTTTGTGCATAGCAGACCTTGACTAGAGATTATGTTTTTCCCTAAAGGCGAGAGGTACAGTGCCTGCACTTTGAAGAAGGGGTGAGAATGTTGCAATTTGGAAAGTCATCTGAATTGTGATGTCTTTACGCTTCTTGCAAGACAGTCATTGAATGATTGATGGCAAATGTGTTTCCTCTTTATTGGGTCACCTTACTTTGGTGGGAGACAGCCAGTGTGTTAGAAAATTAAGGAATTAGACATTACATAAAACTAAAGTGATGGGGAGAGTGATAAATTTACCAGTAGTCTGGTCTGGTCTCATTTTTGGTGAGATGTAATTGGTCTTTGGCATCACTTGGTTTAGTTTTCTCCTGTATGAGTTTTTTAAAACAGTAGCTTGGCAGTGTAAGTGCAGCAAAATCAAGGGTATTAACCTTTAAACTCTGGATGCCTATTTTTCTTTCCTTGCCTTTAAATATTTCATGCCAAAATGTAATCATACATAAATACCTTATCATTACATTGAGGAATTTAGTTGATATCATCTTATCTATTTTCATTTATTTTTACAAACATTAGTTATCATGCCTGCTCTTTATTTTGTTTAACCCTTAAACGGGCCAAACGTATATACAGTGGTCCCTCGTTGTTCGTAATTAATCCGTTCCTGGAGCCGTTACTATAAACAAAATTTACGATTTACGAATCAATTTTCCCCATAAGAAATAATGTAAATACAATTAATCCGTTCCTGACACCCAGAAGTATTAAAACAAAAAAATTTTTAACATGAAATATGCATGTAGTACATAAACAATACAATGGGAAATGATGAATGAAACATTAACAGCATAACACTTACCTTTATTGGAGATTCTTCTTAGTGTATGGGAGACTGGAGGGAAGAGAGTGGATTTTTTTATAGTTTGGAAGGGAATCCCCTTCCATCAACACCTCAGGTACCCATTTTGCTTTTCTGGGGTTGCTTTCTTTTCTCTGTTTCTTAATGCCATTAGGACCACCTTGAGAGTCACTGGAGTCCTGTCTCAAAAAATAACTGTGGTGAGAGCTCTTTTCTGGCGTCTCTTTAACACTTCCTAAAATGACCCAAGACTTTGTCACTGTACATGTTGCCAAAACCTGGCTTGCAACAACCTTGTTAGGGTGATGTTTCTCCATAAAGCTTTCCATTTTAAACCCCAATAGTAAAAATCTCTTTAATTTCTAAAGGGAAGGCCCTTCTTCCATCTCTCTTCCTCCTCCTCTGCAGCAAAAATTCTGAGCTGCGATGTGTTGCTCTTCCTGCTGAAGCTCTTGCAGCTCCTCAGTGGGGGAGCATTTCATTGTGGTCTTCCACCAATTCTTCCACATCCTCCAAACTCCATCCAACCCCATGGAAACTCCCAGTGCCACAATTGATTTTACAACAGACATAGGCTCATTAGGGTCAGTCCCAAATTCTTTAAAAACCCTCTTGTCGACACAATCTGGCCACAATTTTCTCCAGGCAGAGTTCAAAGTCCCGGTAGTCACTCCCTCCCAAGCCATACCTATAAGGGTTATGCAGTGGGGGGATGCTGAAGTGTTCTCTCCAAAATTCCTTAGGTCAAAATGAGTGTTGTGGTCACAGTCAAGCAAACCCGTGAAACATTGCTTTTGTGTAGAGTTTTTTAAAGTTTGCAATAACCTGCTGGTCCTGGGTTGGAGGAGAGGAGTGGTATTCGGGGGCAAGAACTTTACTGTGATGAAACCCAAACTCCTCGAAAATTAGGTCATCCAAGTTTGGAGGATGAGCAGGGTGCATTGCCATTACTAGCAGGCATTGAGATCCAATTTCTTTTCCAGGAGATACTCCTTCACACTAGGGCCAACGCTTCATTGAACCACTCGACGAAAATTTCCCTCTTGACCCATGCCTAACTATTAGATTTCCAAAGCACACACAATTTTACTCTTCATAACATTGTTTTTCCTGAACACTCTGGGATTTTTCAGAATGGGACAATAGTAATGGCTTCACTTTGAAATCCCCCCTAGCCCTTAGCACAGGGAAAATTTGCGTCAGCCTGTCTTTCATAGGTTGTGTCCTGGCATTGCCTTTTCCTCTTGTGTAATGAAGGTCCTCTTTGGGATTTTTTCCAAAGAGGCCTGTTTCGTCACAATTGAACACTTGTTCAGGTTTCAGTCCTTTTAGCCTCTATGTACTCCTGGAATTCATTGCACATATTTTTCAGCCGCCTTGTGGTCCGAACTGGCAGCCTCACCATGCCTTTTCCACACTGTGTATGCCCAGTACGGTTCTTAAATTCTCTCAAACCAGCCTTTGCTGGCCTTAAATTCACTCACTTCACCCCTATTTGCAGGCAATTTCTTTACCAAAAACTTCATGCAACTGCCTAGCCTTTCACAAATAAACGAGTCATAAGGTATCTCCTGCTAATTGTTTCTCATTTATCCACACCAATTTAAAAACTTCTCAACCTCTTCCAGTACTGGTGATCTCATTTTTGTGACATAGTTAACCCCCCTTTTCAACAACAGATCCCTTTTTTTCATTTTTCTTGGCCATATGGAACATAAGGTTGTGTACGGTTTCTTATACATCCTGGACAGTTCGGCCACACTTGTACCACTTTCATATTGGTTCAATGATGGTTTTCTTAAATTCAATCGCATTTCTCACCTTCTTTACCACGGCTTGGCACTAGGAGCTTTCTTTGGAGCCCTGGTAGCTTATTTAGTACTTGCAAGCACTAAAATAAATGGAATATTATGAAATATTTCGCTGGAGCACGTGAGGGGACCTTCACTCACTGGTAAACAATGCCAGACTGGCTGCCGCCCTGGCTCACGCCGTGGGTACGCGTCCCGGACGAACTACGACTCGCGAGTCAACCTTTGAAAAGGAGTCCTGTTTATGCGAAAAATACCTCTATGATTGGCGAATTTTACGATTGCCGGGAACTACGAAAAGCGGGGGACCACTGTACGTGTATATGTTCACCTGCGCAGCGTCCTGAATATTTTGAGAATTTTTTTTGTTTTTTATAGGAAAAAAAGAGCAGGTTGCTCCCCATTTTTTTCATATGGCATACACTGAGTGTGCACACCCATTCTCTATGTCTAGGGGACTCAGGCCCCATCGTGCCAATGTTGAATGAATGACAAATGAAATGTATACATTTCGTTTTGGGGGATTGTGCAAGAGAAACATATATATATACGTTTGAAACCGTTAAGGGTTAAGAAAGAAGGTTTTTTAAGTTTTTATGTTCATGTATTACAATTTTGTGATTGTGAATGACTCTAAGATGATGAAAGTAATTACAGTAATGAAATCCAAATTTTTTTCCAGGTGCGGGAATGCGATACAGAGACAGCTATGATCCAGATATTATACAAATGGCACCATTCTATCTTCTCCCCTCTGCTTTTCCCAGACGGGAATTTGGGCCGTGTAGTGAAGCTGCAGCCCCTCATCAATCTGCTGATGCACAATATTGCTCACGATGATGATTTTTAGAAATTGTCTTAGAAAGTTGGTGTATTTTTTTGTGTTAATCTTTTTATCATTTAAATTGAAATTTTTGTGGTTCATAGTCTCCTACAATATTGTCATGGAAATTGAAAAATTCACAATGGTATGATTGTTACACATAAACAATCTAGGAGCACTTATTGATTGAAATTGCAACTACTTGAAGATTAATTGTATTTGCTTTCAGTTGCACTATGGACAAGTTTTAATGTTTCCAAAATTGAATAACATGTGCATAAAGGCCTCTCCAAGCACTATAAAATTTTGGTGCACTTTTTCAGTCACATTTATAAAAATTACTCTTTAATAGGGGATCATTATAAGAAAGCTATCTACTCAAAACCCTATCACAGTTTCCTCTATCTTAACAAGTCAGGGAAAGTCTGCTACACATTTTTCCTTATTACACATACCATGTTATACTAGTGCCTTTAATAATGCACATGTTTTCTCAACATGTCACTTTCTAGTTCAAAAATTTAACAGGTTATGTTTAGGGGCAACTCCATAGGGATGAAGAGAATAATCCTTCTTCCTAAGCCATGCATGTCACAAGAGGTGACTAAAATGCCGGGAGCAGTGGGCTAGTAGCCCCATCTCCAGTATAAATTACTAAGTGTAAAAGGAAAGAAAAAGTTTAGTTTTCTTCTGTTTTGGGTCACCCTGCCTTAGTGGGAAAAAAACTTTGTGCTAACAAAAAATATTTAGGACAATGATATATGTATCGCTTAAAAAACTCCCAAATAAAATTTATTTTAGACTATATAGAATCACAGTAGAGTATATTTTGTGTGTTAAATTAAAAGAAACAAATTGAAAAATTTATAATCCAGGAATGTGTAATGTTCATATTTGATGATTTTTCAACAGAACCATTAGGGTTGATGACTTCACTGCAAGGCTTTGGAAAATATAACAACAGTGAGAGAGAGGGGATGACCCAGGTAAGAATGCTTGCGATGTTGGACCAGCCTTCTAACACAGTGCACTAAACAAACTCTTTTTAATTCTATACCCTGCCATTTGATTATTTCTTGCTTATTCAAGCTATTTCTTTTATAGTTTTTTCCAGCTTATTAAGGGGGATATAGAAGAATATATCTGACGGGGGTTTTGTCAAATTCTGTACATTGATGAGAAATTGATATCTTTGAACTGAGGTATTGTCTGATATGTTGATGAGAAAGTAATAGTGCAGAAATGGGTTATTGTCTGATTATGTTGATAAGAATAGTATAATAGAAAATGCACAAGTGCCTGCCCCAAATAGTTTGTCATGCATAGTAGAAGCAATTTTTATTTTCACTGTGGCTTGATCTAATTTAATCCATGTTGGCATGTTAAATTCTATTTGATTGAAACATTTTTTCATACATGGGATATGTAACACAACCCTAAAATTTTTAAATTGTAGGTTATCCACAGCTAATAATTAAAATTTAAGTAGCTAAAAGAGAAGATGAATTAAGAATGAAGACAAACAACATGTGTGAATCAATAAAGAAATTGATAAATGTGAAAGTAATGAGAAACTGTTAAACTGTAGGGTAGGTGAAAATAATGAGGAAGAGGTGGTGTTGGTGCTAAAAAAGAATGGTAATGAAAAGATGACTAGTGAAAAAGATAACAAATACATGAAGAGAATAGTAAATTTGAATTAAATTAAATTTTAAATCGTTTATAATAAAAAATAATATATGATAAAACATTGGCCTTTTTAATACTGAACTTTTTTAAATAACAAAAAAATGTCAAATTTCAAAAAGTCATTATGTAGAAGATAAATAATTATAAAAAATGAAAGGTAAAGAGTACCTTGCCCATACACAGACTGATCTATTGATCAGATGGACTTGGGCTGCAGGTTTGTTGACATCAATATACATACATAAAGAGAGGACGAGATTTAAAAATGAGTAGGTAAAAAAGAAAGAATATCCCGTAAGAGGAGTCACATGAGGAGTAAATCAATAATTGTTGCTTGTACATCTGAGGTTGAGATGAGGATAATTTTACAGCATAACATCTGCATAGAACATTTTTTTAATGTTGCTCTTGTGTTTGTTTGGAGGACTTTTATACAAAAAGCCTCTATTTGAGTAGATGATACTGCACATGTAACAAGTAGTTTTGCATATCAAAAATATCATTTGCTTTTTATTGAATATTATGGCAAACAAAAATACATTGCCCACTCAAGAAAAAAAAAGAAATTACTGATGGATCCCTAACTCTCTTCAAGAAAAAAAATGTAAATTCTTGGTCAGCGGGGTTGTAATGCCTGCCTCAGACTGGGAGCTGTAAGCACCAACAGCCTGATTTTCCAGGCTACCAATAGGAAATATGGTCAGAACTTGGCCATTTAGCAGTGGACCCAGGAAGTACTCAGAGGAAATGGTAAATGGACAAAAGAAAAAAAAAAGCCTTCTGGGGAGGCGGGGGGGGTGACTAAATTCCAAAAAACTGGAGCTACCTATTCCTTTCTTCCTTCGATCAAATTTCATGTACCTATAATGATAACATCAGTATAAAATCTAGGCGGGGATTAGTTTTATTTATATAACCTGTGGTGGTGAAGTACTGTATTTGAAGTTGACTGTATAATTTTCTCAGTTTAAAAATGCAAAAATTTAATTAAGTTGTGTGATTTTTCATCCAGTTGAAAGTGTTAAGTTTCCTATTATAATATTTCAGTTTTAATTCCCTTTGGTATGATATGAATTACAAGGGGGTTGAATTTGCTTACATAATTAGCAAGATTAATTGTGGCAATATTATCAATATGAGTCATACAGAAGTTTTCAATTTTTTTTATTGCTGTTGTTAAAACTTTTATTATATTGTATTAAAAAGAGTTGTCTTAAAAATTTTCTGATTTTTTCCTCACATTTTGAAGATAAGTAAGAACTGTTGGTCAGAGTTTTCAATTGAGTTTATAGTCAACAAATATAGCTTCATAAAGAAGAAAGAAAAATTAAATATTAATGATTTTTGTAATTTTTGGGGTTTTTTGAGAAATACCTATTGAACTTAAAATAGTTTGATAATTAGCTTTATCATAATTAAATTCAGTATATTGATAATATTTCCTTCATTCTATTCTCATAAAATTCATCTAATATCCTTCAGTACCAGCCAGTGAGGAGACTGCTGCATGTCACGGGGGTTTTTTTCAAATTTGGCACACTTCTTTTTTTCATTGGGGAATTTTCCTGTTTTCTTTTGGGACTTTCCCTCGCTAATGCCTTTGCACTTAGGAGTTGAGTTTGGGCTTGGTTGCGGTCGGATGTTTAAAGCTGACCAAATGCCATGCTGGGTGCTGCAAGCTATGCGAGACCCCCCCTTATGTGCAGGGCACCAGGTGGAGGTCAACACCATCGCCTCAGGATTTGGCCACTTGGGACCAATTTCCGGGAGTATCAATAGGTACACGAAGGGGCATTACACAAATCACAGGGACTGCATTAGAGAGGACTTTTGTATAAACAAGAGCTGCCTGCAAATTAGTTTGGAGCAAGAAGTTGGAACAGCTGCAATTTCAATCATAAACTTAATTATAACAAAAATTTCCCCTTTAAGGGGCGCATATCCCTGAACTTTGCTTTTCAACAATTTTGCTGATATTTTAATATTATAAACATGTATAATACAATATGTCCTTACAAATAAATTTTTCATTGCTGTCTGAGTGATTGTTTTAGAAATAAATCAGTTTACATAGTTCCATATTTTTTCACTATTTAAAATACGTAGGTATATAGAATGAAGAGGGCTGTACCTTCAGGAAAGCACTAATTCATATAACTTTTTAAATAATCAAAAATTTCTCAATAATGTGGAGAAAATAAAATAAAAAAAAATTTAACCGGAATGGTATTGGATGGATAAGTGCAAAAACAAAACTACCAAATCTGACATATTTTGAAAACTACCTCAAAGAGGAATGAAAGTTTTTATAAGGATACAGTACATTGTAGCATGTTATACCATCTTTTAAATACTGTATTAGAAAATTGGAGCTAAAAACTCTTTGCTCTGTACAGGGAGGGTAAATAAAATAAGAGATTTGAATATGCAGAAATTAATTTTTAAACAGGTCTGACAAGGCCCAAAAATTCCAAAAGGTGTTGCCACCCTAATTGATTTTCTAATATTTTTTTTTTTTCCTGTTCAGGGCTATGCCTCCTTTTAGCCTGTGAACTTGATAGATAGTTACCAAGTAGATTGTCATTCAGGTTGCAACTTTGTTTATTTTATAAGAATAATTTTAACATTTAAATTACAACCAAGCATAGCTTACAAATTAAATCTACATTACACATGTACGGAATATCAATTGATACAAAGATTTCTCACTACTAATAATTAGTTTCATCAAATAACTATGCAAATAACTATCAAAAAGCTAAACATTCCATGGCTTCCCTAGGCTTCCTCAGATCAGTTAATAAGAAAATAATGGTGACAAGTGTAGAGTAGTCTCTCTCTCCAAAAAAATGATCCAAAAGCAAAATCTATTTCTAATAATTTTTTAAAAACTCTAAAGAGCTGACAATCCTCTCCAAATCAACAACAACAACAACAAAAAAAAATTCCCTTCCAGAGCGAAGGAACATTCCCTCATTACTGATACTGTGATTGAGGTTAAACAATTTCTTTCTTCACTAGGAACTAATCTTGCAAACAGCATCCCAGATACCAATATAAACATCAGTAGATCTTTGACTGATATTTACCTAGGCTCCATCTATTTGTCTTCTCCACAACCTCTGAAATAGCATGCATTTAATCAATTAAATTTCTACAATAATCAGCTAGTTTAAAAGAAGTAATACCTTTCATTGTTTTAAGAAAGTTGTGCACACATGTGCTTTTCTTCACTTATTTCAATACTTTTCAATAAATCACTTGAATAACCATTCTTTCAGACTACCTCATAAAGGGAAAAAGGATAATATTCATCCACATAGGTGGTACTCTAGCTAATATTAACAATTGCAGCCAGTATTAATCTATAAACACTATCAAAAATTTTGAGAATGTGATTCACAAGCAGCTGTACTTGTACTTATTTAAATATAATGTGCTCACTCCTTGTTATTTGAATTCAGATCCCCAATAAAATATTAATGAAACTGTTACTTTTTTAAAAATTCATTACTTTTAAGAAACAGATACACTATTGGACGTTTGATTTATCTGAATAATGCTTTTTATATGGGGGACCCTAATTTTTCTTTTCTGGGGTTACCTTTCCTTCTTCTTTTAATGCCACTGGACCTGCGTCAGAGTTATGGACCTCTGTCGCACAACAAATCTGTCCATAGAGCTCTTACTCCGTTTCTCAAGACTTCTAAAATGGGCCATAACATTGTATTGAAATAGTCACAAGCACGGCTTGCACAGCTGTGTCAGGGTGATTTTCATCTATAAAGGTTTTGCGTTCAAACCACTCTGCACACATTTTCTGAATCTTTGAAGTAGGCACAATGGATTCCTCAACTGGCATAGGGTTCTCAGGGTTAGCCCATACCCTTCAAAATCGTTCTTAATTTTCCATATATTTTCTCACCCTTTTTACCACAGGGTTGGCCTAGAAGCTTTCTTGGTGCCATGGTCACTTATTTTCAGACAAACACCACCGAAAACACTGTAATGATACGAAATAGTCCGAGTGTATGCTTGGATGTTACCGCGGAGGCTGGTGGAAACAATGGACGGCGGCCACTGTGAGTGCACATTGGACGCGTTCGAGAAAATCGGTATGCGGGTTTTTTAATGGTATGCGGGGCAAAAATTTTGCGATAAAAAAAAAAAAGTATCGTATGCGGAAAATCGTATGCGATGCATCGTTTTTTTTATGCGGGGGTCACTGCCCCCCCCCACCCCCCCCCCCCCCCCCCCACCCCCCCACCCCCCCCCCCCCACCCCACACTCCTCACCCCCACCACCCACCCCATACCCCCCCCCCCCCCCCCTCATTATCATCCTCTCTATATATATATATATATATATATATATATATATATATATATATATTAGATTTATATATATTAAGTTTATTTATATTATATATATATATTTATATATATATATATATATAGTTTATATATATATAGATAATATATATATATATATTTTTTTTTTTTTCACAAGTCGGTCGTATAGTATATATATTTGTAGTGAATGGTTCAGAGAACCGACCTTGTGATAAATTAGACACATGTGCAACTCTTGGGTATCTTTATTGAGGCAACGTTTCGCTCCAACACCGTGTTCATCTCAGTCCATACATTGGAGAAACTTGAAGAACAGGTGGAGAAGATGGGTAAATCAGTCTCTCTTCAACCTTGAGTCGATGTTGTTCAGGTCCATCTTTCTTGAGTAGAAATTCTATCTAGAGTGGGTCCTACGACAGTTCTAGAGGTGGGTACATATATATATATATATATATTATATATATATATATATATATATATATATATTTTTATGATATATATTATATATATATATATCTGTTGGAGTGTGAGCAGGGTAATATTGTGTGACGGGATTCAGGGAATCCGGTTATTTTTTATTGATCGGTCTTGGAGTCCTGGAAAGGGGAAGTACAATGCCTGCACTTTAATGGAGGGGTTTGGGATATTTTCAGTTGGAGGGATTATGTTGGGTATCTCTTACGTATATGTCTTCTAAACTGTTGTTTCTGGAGACCTCTGCAAAAGCAGTGATAATGTGTGAGTGTGGTGAAGTGTTGAATTGATTTGATGAAGTATTTTCCTTTTTGGGGATTTTCTTTCATTTTTTTTGGGTCACCATGCTCGGTGGTGACGCCCGACTTGTTGAAAAAAAAAAAAAAAAAAAAAATAATATATTTATATATATTTTATTATATTTATATATATATATATATATAGTTAAATATATATATATATATATTTATATATTATATATTTATGATATATATTTATATATTTATATTTATAGTATTATATATATATATATATATATAGATATGTATTTATATTTATTTTAGATGTATTTATATATATTTATATTTATATGTATATTTATATATATATATATATATAACTATATATATATTATATATATATAATTATTATATATATTTTATATATATATAGTTTTTATATTATTTTTATTTATTATATATATTTTTATATTTTTTTATCTTATATATATATATTTATCTATATATATATTATATAATATATTTACTTTTATATATTTATTCTATTATATATATTATATATTATATATTTATATTTTATATTTTATTTATATATATTTATATATATAGATGCTTATATATATATACTAGTTATTATATATATATTTATTTATTTATATATATATATATATAGCATTATATATATATATTATTAATTTATTTATTTTATATATTTTATATGATATATATTATATATATTATTATATATTTTATTATATATGCATGCATGCATGCTGCATGAATTTGCATAGAGGCAGGCCGAAATATACTCTAAATGTATCTCTGGCTGAAGGAGACTCAACTACGAACCGTGGACAGGTACGCAGTGTTTTACCTATCTTCCCACACTGGACCAATACTTTGGAGTCGCTTGCACTAGACTTTGATCCAGGCAGCCCTGATAAGCATGCTCATCTTTAAATAACTTATAGCGTAATTAACAACAAGAACATTTACACTCGCAGAAAAGTTCACTAGTGACAAGTATCCACTTGTAGCTATGATCATTTGCAATCAAATGTCATTAAAACTTGGCAATCACTAAGGTGATAGATGACATTTCTTCATGAAGCTAATAATGCTCATGAGGAAAAGTAGGCGAATAATAATAATAAATTATTATTATTATCTTATTGTTATAAGCACGGAGCAATTTATAATATATATAATACTATGGAGAAGCTATGATTTACAGAATAACAAATAAATAATAAAACATACAAGATTAATTTTTGTTGTAAAAGTGGATAATAATACTGTGAAGTAGCCGTAGTCAGTAGTAGCCAGTAGTAGTAGCAGTAGTAGCAGTAGCAGTAGCAGTAGTAGTAGTAGCATTAGTAGTAGTAGCAGTAGTAGTAGTAGTAAGCAGTAGTAGTAGTAACAGTAGTAGTAGTAACAGTAGTGTAGTAGCGTAGTAGTAGTAGTAGCAGTAGTAGTAGCAGTAGTAGTAGCAGAGTAGCAGCAGTAGTAGCAGTATGTAGTAGCTGTAGTAGTAGCAGTATTAGTAGCAGTAGTTGTCGCAGTAGTAGTAGTTGCAGTTGAGTTGTGTATGTAGTAGTAAATCGTAGTAGCTAGTATAATAGTAGTAGTCTTAGTAGTTATTGTTGTAGTAGTAGTTGTAGTAGTAAAAAATATAGTAGTTAGTAGTAGTTAGTTGTAGTAATAATTATTATTA